CAGCCCGGGCCCAGTGTGGGAACCCTTTTGTACCCGGGGTCCCTTTATGGGGAGATTTACGAGACGCCGCACGGTTAGGGCCGCAATTACCGCCCCCATAAATTCCGCGGCCCTGGCAGCGGCTCCGGGCCATGTGTCTTTGAAGCTTTTCTGCAGCCCCGAGGCCCAGCTCCGTTCCTGATGGCTCCCGGGTGCTCCCCGTTGTCAATAGCCCGTGAAACACTTTCGGTGCCGTTTTATGTATCTTGCGTGAACTTGGTGTCAGGTTATTAGATAATGATGATGTCCCCTTGCTCTTCCCCACCCCACCTTCTCTCTCCTCCTCCTTCCCCGCTCCTTCCACTCCCTCCGCCTCGGCTGGCTCTCCCCTCGGGGTTCTGGGCTCTCAGTGAACCCCGGGTATCACGGAGGGGAGCCCAAGCGCTCCCGGACCGCCTACACCCGGCAGCAGGTGCTGGAGCTGGAGAAGGAGTTCCACTTTAACCGCTACCTGACCCGGCGCCGCCGCATCGAGATCGCCCACGCGCTCTGCCTCACCGAGCGGCAGGTCAAGATCTGGTTTCAGAACCGGAGGATGAAGTGGAAGAAAGACCACAAACTGCCCAACACTAAGATGCGGTCCTCCAACTCGGCCTCGGCCTCCTCCTCCGCAGGCCCGCCGGGGAAAGCACAGACTCAGAGCCCCCACCCAAACCCGCACCCCCACTCCCACCCCCACCCCCACCAGGGTGCCTCCACGCCCATCCCCTCCTCCATATAATCTCCTGGAGATCTAGACCCGGTTCTTTCCCTCCTCTGCGTTTCTCCTCTCTTCTGCCCCTTTCCCCATCCACCCCTCCCCGTACGTCCATCTGTCGGGACCACAACAGACCCCAAAACAAAACCCAACTTGATGAAAAGTGTAATAAAAAGAAGAGGACATTCTCCTGGTAAGAGTGTGTGCTGGTTGCCACCCAAGAGAGGCCAGTGGCCAGGATGCTGGCTGGTGGAGCAACCTGCCGGCCTAAGGAAGGCTGCCAGGGTTGAGTACCTGAGAAGGACCACTTGGCATCACATACTTTTGAGACGGCGGAAGGACCTGTGTATGTATATTTGTTGCAAACAGAAGAAAACAGACCCTTTCCTACCTTCCTTGTCTCCCCTCCCTCATTAAGGCAGCTCATACAAGCTTGTCTTGAACTGAATACTACATGAGTAGACATTGTGGACCTCACAGGATTATTTAATTCTCCAAATGTATAGACCTCGATGGTAGATGTGACACAATAGTTTCCCTTCCTTGCATTTATTTAAAATATTGTTGTAGAGATATTGTTGTCTTATTCTGAGGCACAATCTTCGGGGAGAGGGGTGTGCATTTAGACCCATGTCCAACTGTACACATCGTGGTATGGCTATATAGAAAGCCTTGCTGAGAATAAACTCTGTTTCAAAAAACATTAAAGTTCTAAAACACATTTGTGTGTTTCCTACTTTTAATTTAAAAAAAAAAGTGCTCTGGATTGAAGTGCTTGACCTTGCCTAGGAGGAAATCTTGTAGATGGCTTGAGTTGTGTTCACTTGGATTCTGACTGCTCATGTAATGTGTGTGAGTGTGTTCAACTTGAGCTGAACTCTTGTCAAGTTTGACCCACGGTGGGAAAAGTTCCAAAGGGCATGAAGGCTCTTGAGCTCTGAGAGGGCTCCTTCTTCTTCCCAAACTTGGCCAGGCTGTCAGGCTTCAAGTCTCTGTAAGGCACAGAAACGTGTCCTTCTGTGCAATGAAAGGTGAAACCGTGCAGTGCTGCGGGCCCAGGAGTTGCTGCAGCTGCTCTGCTGGCTGAACTCTGAGCACACTTGGAAAGCAGTGGTCCCTCTGGTATTTATGGCACCTTCGCACTTCATCTGCCTGTTTCCTTGGAGATAAAAAATAGTTTGTGTAAAGGGTTGAGGTTGCTTTTTGTTTCTTTGCTGTTTTGAAGGCTCTCTTCGCTAACCATAGCTTGGGAATTTTTATTTGTTTGCTTCTTTCTTATGTTCTTTCTTTTTTGAAGCAAGAAATTTTAAAGTAAACTGGATTTTCCCAGTACACCCTCCAGAGTTTCTTCTGAGGAAATAAAAGGCTTAATGACACCCTAAATTGCACCCCAAAGCAAGGTAGACCTGGGAGTATTCAACACTGGAAGAAAGCCAAACTCTGAACTAGGGTCACTTGCCTCAAATGCTCCCAGATTTTTCTGCCCAACCTAGAGACCTAGATTGAAAAGGTTGAAAATAAAATCTGCTTCACAATCTCCATAACTCTAGCATTTGTTTACTGATTTACTAATCAGTCAAGAGAATTTGGACTTGGTTGTCACTGAAGGGACAAGATACAAAAAAACACAACAACACACATTAGCCCCAGAATATTAGAATTGTCACTTGGCCTTGACTGAGGGCAATGTTTAGTTCATGTAATAATTTTAGCAGAGATGGGAGGGGGCACTCACCTACCTCTGCAATAACGGAGGAGTTTTAAACACATTTTCCCCTCAGTGGTGAACCCTGGGCCAGTGGTCAGTGCTGTTACTCTACTGCCTGTGTGTAATACAGGCAGGGGCAAGCTGCTGTCTACCTATGAACAAACCAGATCTGAGAGGGAAGTGATGGATCCCAGTCTCAGAGGGGCCTCCATCTCTCCCCAAGAAAACTCAGGGGCAATCAAGTGCCCGCCTACCCCAGGCAGGCCAAACCTGGCATAAAGTGCATTTTATAAGGTGTGAACGAGTGCCAGGGATCTCTAGAGTCACTGCATCTGCTGCTGAGACTTATTAACCCTTCCTCTACTACACGCACTTGTAAAACGAAATTAAATCACGCTGAAAATAGCAATTTTCCCAGGAATCATTAATCACCTCATACAATAAATACTTCTTTGTAATTCAACAGCAATTCTGAAAGGCATTCTCTGGGAAAAGTCTGTGGAGAAGCAAGGGATCTTCTTGCAAATAACGTGGTCTCGGGCAAAGACGCAGCATCTTGCCTGTCTGCTCAAAAAATGCCTAGACTCTTGGTGGAAATTGAGTGTCAAGCTGCAAAACCTCACATGGCAGATTGTCATCAATTAAGGTAAATTCTTATATTTCTCCTTTGTAGTAGAGGAAGGGGATGAGAGCATTAATTAGCTACATACTAGAGGCAGTTGTATGGGGCTAAAAGGGGTAATGAAGAGAAAGGATGGAGATGTGTGTGTGTGTGTGTGTGTGTGTGTGTGTGTGTGTGTGTGTTTATATTCCAGTGCAAAATGGAATTTTTACCCAAATTGTGTTGATTATTAAGGTATTGGTAAGTTTTACCAAGTCAAAATGCTCCCAAATGATCCAGATGGTTGTGCCATTTCTTTAGTGTTTTGCCTGTTTCGGATTTGGTCTTTTAAAGGAGCTTGTTATAGCAGCTTAGAAAATCCCACTTTGTGCTTCAAAATCGCGCATTGTCTGCCCTTTGCTAGGGCAACCGTAAGAGTTCACCCAGAGGACAAATTTTCTATCTCATTAATTGTTGTTTTTTTAAAAGCAAACTCTATTGGCCCCTCAAACCCTTGACCTTTAAAGACAGTAGTATTTTGTGTGAGCTCTATACTTCTGCTGCCAAAATGACCCTTACACAGGCTCTCCTCTTCTTTCCTTTCTCTCTTTCTCTCTCCTTCCCTCTAACACACACTCATCTGCTTTAGTCACATAGCCAAGCTGTGCATGACTCTGGAGAGATAAAAGTTTTGTCAACATCTGAAATCAACCTAAATCGGATAGGAGACACTTTAATGGTCACAGTTTGAATTAAGTACTTAAGAGTCTCCCCCCTGAAGAAAAATGGCACTTTGCCGGCTCTCTTTCCTAGTTTTGCTGAAATCTACGATATACCCGGTGTTTTATTACAGCAGGAATTCAACTGTGACAGGCAGAGTAGAGTACTTAATACCCAGGATGGAGCTCATGGGAAGATTACCTAGATATATGGGGAGTGGGCCCTCTGCACAGCATCTCTGACTTTATATTCAGCTGTCACAGGGTGTCCACATCCTCCTCCACCTCTCAGCCCCTCCCCATGGGGTGGGTATCACCAAGCCTCCTCCTCTCTCTCCCTGCTTCCCTAAGCTACCAAACTGTGCTGTTCTCACCCACCACTGCCTTCCCTCCAGCAGTTTAACATGGAAACAGATCAACCATTCTTTAGAATGGAAAGAAAGAAAAAACTCCAAGAATCAATGTAGCAAACAGAGACCTGGGGCTTCCCATTTGAATGAGTGGATTCGGTGCAAGCAAAAAGCTGTTCGTGACACTCTCTTGGTCTGCATCCCTAGCCCAGGTGAGGTCCACTATTGGAGCGCACAGGCTCACCCTGCCCAACCAGCTGCCCCTCCAGTGGTTGCTCCTCTCTGTATTATATATGGACCCAAGACTAACGCTGCTTCTTCTCTGAAAGAGTATGGGCTGGAAAAAATAGGAGGAAGAAGAGAGACCTGTGTTCTAACTCTTTGATAGCACCTAGGAGGCTGCCGGGGCTGTTGTGAAATATTCTCATCTGAAATTTCTGTCTTGGAACTCTGTCAAGTCTTATTCTCAAGGCCCCAAACCTATGGAGTAACCCCTGCCCCCTTTCAGGTCAGCCCCAGTCTCTCTGGAATTGATTTCGGGGGGTAAAAGAGATCCCAGATTGAAAGAATATCTTAGGAAAAAGAGATCTGGAGGCCATTTTGGTCCCATCTTAGTTTACTGATGATGAGGAAACTGAGGCAGCTAAATGCTCCCCCTCCCATTTTTCTTTATGTTAATGAATTGTAGATTTGGTCACACCCTTGGATAGAGGTAAGTGCACAGGCATCTTTCCTTGGCAGAAGGCCAATGAGTCTGGGTTCACACTGGACATGAAGGGCCACAGATGTGCTTCTCCAGGTTAGAAGGGTGCTGAGATAGGTGGGCTGACCTCTGAGCTCAGGAGGTGACAGATGTCAGGGTCAGGGTGCCTGGGAGAGCAGTGGACACCCCACTGTCTACAATTCTCATAGTTCCAGACTGACTCATTCTGCTATGCTTGCCCTGGAATTTCCATGGGGGTTCCCTTGCCCCAGAGCTGCGCAAGGGGATCTGCATTCTGGAGGTCTGGGAACTAAAAAGCCAACCAAGGACCCTGGTGGCAGCAGATAAAGGTGTAAGGCCTGTTCCAGGGAGAAATTGAAATTGTAATCCTGGGGGTCACGTGACTCATTAAATAATTAATGCCGATCGTCAAGAATGGATGGAGTCAGCAGGGCCTCACTAGGAATGACTCTCTCAGAAGTAAGACCCCCAACTTCCTATTTGATTTTTTAAAACACACACGGTCAGGATTTATTTCTAAAGGCTTTTAACTCCTTCAGGAGGGTCGGAGAGAGCCCTTCACGGGGAGAACCCAGCTGGCGGGCCCATGCTGGGCCTGGGAGCTCTTTCTGCAGGGTTTCTGCGAGTCCTGGGAGTGCACCGCGGCCGGGGAAATGTGAGTTGGAGCTCGGGTTTTCTGCGGTCGTAGCCTGGCTTTGGTGATGAAGTGGGACGGATGTGCAGACAGTTGGTAATGTTCTGATTCACACCGGGGAAGGCTGCAGAGATACCACAGGACAGGCGCGCGGCTTTGTTCAATTTTCCCGGTGTTCATAAATCACCCGCGCCGGGGCGAGCGAGCGAGGGAGCAAGCGAGCGCCAAAAACACCACCGAGAGAGGCCACAGCAGCGGCGGCGGCCATTGCGAGGGAGAGACCTGGGCAACATCTCTTTGTGACTCATTAGCCTGAACGATTTATGGGGAACAGCAGCCATGAATATTTGACTTGGGGATAAGGAAATAGCAACAATAATAATAACCATAATAATTACAATACTCCTAAGCATCGCCGAGTGGGGGTGGCTTGGCAGATGGTGGCATAGCAGATCTTTCTGGGATGAAGTTGAGTGGCAACGTGCTGTATGGCTAAGCTCCACCTCACTCAGGGTCATGCCAGGAGCTCCAAGGCCACAGGGGCACTGCCTTTGGAGACACAGAGGGCAAGTTTGAACAAGAGAAAGGGGCCCAGCATGGGTTCTGAGTCCCCAGTGCCTGGTCGAGGGTGGGGGCTGCGGTCGGGGCGGTGGTGGCTGAGGGCAGCCAGCTTCAGGTGTGCGGCCACTTGTTCAGTGTGCTAGGGGGCTGGGAAGCCTGGGTGGGGGTCAGGGGACCTGTCAGGTATTTGGTAGCTGCTCCTGGTACTATCAGCAGGATTGCATGGATGCCAGGCAGCCATTGAGGGCTGGTTTGGGGCAGGCCAGAGTGTGGGAGGCTATGCGGGTTTGGGTGAAGGGGTAGTGGGGCAGGGACAGGGCTGTGGAAGCAATCCACTTGGCAGAGTGCCAGCCCAGCGGAGAAGTTCTCCAAGCCAGAGCTCATTGACTAGGACGATTCTCGCCTCTTCCCCAGCGTCTTCCCCACACCCCTCAAGTTGGCTGACCTTTTGCTAGCTAGAGAGCAAGAGAGGGCTTGCAGATATCTTGAGGGACACGGTGGTAGCAGAATTAGGGCATCTAGGAGCTTGTCCCCACTGTGCAAGGTGAGGCTGGATAGGGCCCCTGGATTGGGTATTGTCCCAGTTCACATCCTTCCCAGTTTCTCCCTATTTCCAGCAGCCATAGCTGGCCTGCTGTGAGGGACTGGGCAGCCCACTGGGGCAGGGAAGTGACGCGCCCAGGGCTTGAATGAACCAAAATACAAAACCTCTCAAGGCTGCCCGTGGCCTATGGGCTGAGCTGGAGTTTGATTTCGCGCCAAACAGAAATGAACACTATTAGCGAGGTTTCGGGAGAGTCTGTGATTGAACGCTCCCAGACAAGGCTTCCCTTTGTTAGCAAAAGAAAATAAAGCGCGCATTCACATTCCCCAAGTTGAGGTGCGTGAGGAGCTCTCGGAGCAGAGCAGGCTCCCGCGGCAAAGCCCCTTCCACCTTCCCATCTCGCTCCGCCTCGTCCATTTTCTTCCCCCTTCCCCCTGCCCGCCCCCTATATAAAGAAAGAAAAGGAAGAGTGTGGGTGCGGAGATGGAGTATGTATTTATTTTACAAAAATAAATCACCATCTTCAGGCCATTTGTAGACGGGAACCTTTCGAGCAATGAGTGTGCCGCATGGACGAATGCCCTGGCGACTCCTCCGTGTCCGAGTCACCCCGGGGGCCACCCTGGCGCCCGGAACGGCCGCGCTTCCAACTCCGGTCCTCCGACTCCCTTCCTTCGCAGCCACCGTTCACCCTCTGCTGTTTATTTATCCGCAGAGCGCCCGGACACCGGAAAAGGCGATTCCCTGAGCGCTCCGGAGTTGGAGACAATTCGGGGTTCAGTCTTAAATATCTTTGGAGGTAAGCGCTGCGCCCACACTCGTCACCGCTTGGGGCTTTGCACCGGACCTCTGGCGGGAGTTTGCTCTCCCAGGCAGCTGCAGCCCTGGGAAAGAGGCTCTGGTCAATATTTAACTTCGGAAGAGTTTTGGAGCTGGGTTATTTTCAGCTGCAAGTTCCGCGAATGCAAGGCTTCAGGCAGACAAAGAGCCCGCAAAAGCCGGCGTTCTGCAGAAAGCGCGGTGGGTCGCAGAGACCAAAGATGTATGTGCTTGGGGGGCGGGGGTGTGAGAAGGATGTATTTGTTTCTTCCAGCAAGTTCCAAACAAATCGCTACATGGAACAGCAGGGCAAAAGCCAGTAGAGGCCACGGAGGCGGTGGCCGCTGCGTGGGCCGCTCTACTTGTCCACTGTTGGCGGCGCCTGCGGAGACTGTGAGTTCGGAAATTGTGGTTAATCCAGCTCTGCATGGAGGAAACTGGGCTCATTGCCTCGCAGTGTCTCTGGTCCTTTTGCTTTTCCTTGGCGAGAGGGAAGTTGCTGTATTTCCGAAGTATAGACTGTCGCAGGTTCCTTTAGCCAGGCTGACCCGCTGTTCTTCCTACAGGAAAAGCACAGGTTTTCTATCTCAGCGTTTTATTTTCCTCTTTGGAACAAGGGAAAACTCTTTAAAATTCTTTTCCAGTTCTGGCTTAATTTGTTCTCTTAGTTTGGGATGCAGGGAGGTAATTACTGTGGTTTATTACCTTGTAAAAGATCCATAAATTTCGTGCCTATTTGGGGGAGGGGCTGCTGGAATAGCTTCCCGAAGCTTGGTATGAAGGAATGGGTTTGCTTTGTTCTTTGAGGAATTACTTGTTTTAAAAAGTTTTCTGAGATTTTATTTTCTATTCCCTAGGCCTCAGTCTTTCCTAAAATTTTCTCCCCAAATAGAGACTAGGTTGCTAATTTATTGCAACATGCTGTTGGAGATGCTCTACGGCTGATATGGTGTTTTAGATACAATTCTTATTTTATTAGCTAGGAAGTAAACAGAGCAATAGTAAAGTTGGGTTACTTTCTCAGCTACTGTATGTCTATTTATATCATGTATAGACAGAGCATTTCAGGAATTTGCCACTCAGTGTGAACATTTGATTTGCATCTCTGCACACAACACTATCATTGCGTATATAAACAGTTGCAGGAGTTTGAGACCATGTGTATAAAGTGATATACACATTCGTGTGTGTCCAGAGAACTTGGAGCCCATTTGTAGTGCAGTTGCACCCACAGGAAATATCTCATGTTAAATAATGATCTATAACCTCCACCAAAGAAAAGTGGGCTAAGAGGGCCTAACCTGATGCTGAGTAGAAAAACCACTAGAGTTAACTAAGGGGAGAAACATGTTAAGTGTATTTTTGACAGAGAAATCAGATTGCAGTGTTTGAATACAGATATATCTAATCTGCCAACAGCCTTGCAAATATTGACTAAAGCTCTGCATCCTGAGTCACCTGCTCCTTCCTAGACAACTTTCTGCCTATTTTGGCTCTGGTGGCCTGGATCCAGGGCATGTGTCCCCAGCCCAGGCTTGCCAGGTTAGGGGCTGAGAGAGTGAATGGAGCGGTACTGGCAGCTGGACCTCCTAGCCTGTGCCTAGATACTTGAGCATCTTCGCTCTTGGTCTCTGGAATGGGAGTTTAAATGGCCCATAGCCTTGCTCCAGGAAAGCAGATTTCAGAGTGGGGAAGGAGGACTCTCAGCTGCGGGTTCTCTGGTGGCTTGCTCAGCCCAAGCTCTCTCTTGGGGAAGCTGTTTTCACCTCAAAAGTTAAATTTCTTGAAACTTCCTCAGATATGTTCCTTTATAACCCACAAAATCACCGTATCCTACCCCAGGTCAGTAATGTTAATTGTTAAACAGCAGTTGGAGCATTAACTGGGCTGTTAATAGCGGCATGGAGGCTCCTGGCTGGAGCTGAGATGCCTCTGGGCCTTGCTGGTGTTAAGGCATTTCTCTGAAGCACCACCAAACACTTCTCCCATTGATTTATGGCCTTGGGAATTTCAGCTTGCTCCAGACGGTTCTGCAAGTTCTGAAGGGGGCCCCTTCTCATCATTGAGTTGAAGCCCCTGCAGAAACTTTGGTTGGAGAGAGTGGAGTTTACCAACAACTAGGCAATACTTCCAGGTTCTTTCTAGGCTATCAGGAGAGCTCAGTGTAAAATATTTGGGGGTGGTGGGTAAGAGGAGCAGAGGAAAGTGTGTTTCTGGTCTGAGTCCTTGGGGAGTGCTTTGTGGAAACCAGCTTTTGGTTCTGTCCACCACCCCCAAACCTGAGAGAGCAGGTTTTCATGTTAGATGCATACTTCTCGGCTTGTGGCTTAGGTCAGAGCTGGGAAAGGTGACATAGAGGTTCTCTCCTAGCTATACTACAGGCAGAACCTCATTGGAATACTGATACTGCCACCAGCTTAGGGCAGGCTCCCTTCCAAGGGGTGTGAGGTCTCCTCCTTTTATTGCCATTCTGATTTGGATACCCTCAAGAGCAGGCCCCCTTCCTGAGGCCCTTACAGTCTCACTAGGCCTCTCTGTTCCCCTGCAGGCCAGGAGGGGAGGGGCGGGAAGAATCATGCACAGCCTCCTGCAGCTGCTACAAGTTCGTCCTCATGCTTAGAGAGGCCTAGCTAACCGAAGACCCGCTCTCCAGGAACAAAAGAATATAACATGAGGATCTCTCCACCTCAGAGCATTCCCAAGTTCAGAAACTAAGATCCAAAAAGAGGAAGTTTTTAGCTAGCTCCTGAGAGGGTGAAATGTTGAAATCAGTGGAGACTGTCACCAAGCGGAAGGCAGGTGTGTGTGTGTGTGTGTGTGTGTGTGTGTGTGTGTGTGTATTTCAGCCAGGTTACTCCTGAGAAGAGTTGGTCAGTTGGTCTTTCTGCTGGTGGACACAGAGTTGTCTTAGGGGAGGGTGAACAGAAAGGGTCCCAGATTTGTGTGTGTGTGTGTGTGTGTGTGTGTGTGTGTGTGTGGTCTTATTTATTTCAGCCAGGTTACTCCTGAGAAGAGTTGGTCCAGTTCATTTTCTGCTGGTGGACACAGAGTTGTCTTAGGGGAGGGTGAACAGAAAGGGTCCCAGATTACCTTGCAGTAGGTTAGTTAATTCAAGGGATGCTAGGATTTTTTTTTCTCTTCTTGCAAAGACAATTAGATCCTTTCCCCTTATGTTTTTCTCCATTAGAAGCCTATAATTTCATGTATCATTCCGCTATGCACTGAGGAATAGTGTAAGTTCAGGTTTGGTCCGGGCACTGGGTCCTTCCAGATTCTACAAAACTCTGACCCACCCACCACTCTAGAGCCAAGTACCTATTTCCTACGGGGCTCCCATCCAACAGAACAAAAGCAACTGGACTTTAGCCTTTTGTCAGGTAATTATGGGCCTTTTGCATTTCTACAGTGGCTGTGGTGTAAGGCGTGGGTGTTAGCACATTCCATACAATGGCAGGCCATGAGAGAGTCAACTGACTAGGCCAACCATTAATGGGTTTTCTTCTGGAAACAGGGCCTGGGCCTTGACTTTTGATGTACTGGCCAGAGAGGCGAGAGTGCTTGGGTGTGCTGGGTTCCGCAGGTCTGTGAGTGGAAAACTGTAAGGAAAGTTACGTGGTCTCTAAGAAAGGGGACAGTATTGCTGTTTTCTTATGTTTGTATCAAGTGCAAAGAAATATAAGAGAGATAACTGGCCCTGTGTGGCACATGTTGGGGGGGGGGGCAGATGCCCCCAGCATCTAACTGCCCTAGACACAACTCTTCCCTACTGCTGGTCACGGTCCCCCTCCTCCCCTCCCCCAAAGCTAAATGTGCTGCTTGGAAACCTAGTTCCTTCAGTGATTCCCTATTTCAAATAAAAGGATTTAAGTTGACGTATGACCACGTGAGCACATAATACAGCACATTATTGTGGCATTTGGAGCTGAGACCCGGGCGGCTTCGCCTGTGATTACGTTTTCTAGATTCTCTACAGAGAGGCTCCCCCCCCCCCCCCCCCCCCCCCCTCTCCTTCCCCTTCTCCGGAGAGTGCTCTCCTAGCGGGTTGCAGTTTTCAGCACTCATGGAGCGGCTCTGGGCCAGCTAGCCGATGGGACTCGAGGCCACGCCAGGAGGATGGAATTTATTTTAAGGTATTTCCGTTGATTGTTCATATCTAGAGTGAGTTATGGCTGTGAGAGACAAAGGTCAGGCGAGGAGACCCTGGTTCAGGGACAGGACCCTCAGCCCATCTCTTCCTTTGTTTCTCCTTTAGAACCGAAACCATTTGAAAGATCCCCAGTAGCGCCTCAGACTGAGTTTAATTCCCTGAAAAGTGTTGGGGGGTGTGAAGGAAGGGGCACTTGGGTGCTAATTGGTGGGCCTGGTAGCCTCCAGTGCTAGTGTGGCTTTGTCCACTACAGCGGGGCTTGAGACCCGGAGCGGAGCCCCAGGCGGAGGGAGGGTCCCGAAGTGCCCACGCAGGTTAAGGTGGCCAGCGCTGCTCTCCCAGGCGACACTGCCTGGAGGGGGTGGACGCTGAGTGAAGGAGAAAGAGAATCGCTGCTCCCCCCATTGCTGCTGTTTGCCGGCGAGGGATGGTGGGCTAGGGCTGACCAGGGCAGCAGGAGCAGCTGGGAGAAGGAAATCAATGAGTGTGCAGATGCGCTGCCATTTTATTGATGATGCTTCAGGCCACTTTGTTCAGTGCTGGGTTGCAGAATGCGATTTCTCACACACGGGATGGAAGGAGCTGGACCCCAGGACACGCCTTTGTTTCTCTGTACACCCTCTGCCCGGTAGGGGTGGAGGAGGACAGCTCGGATTTAGGAGAGGCTTGGGGTGGCCAGCGTGCTGGGTGCCCAAGAGCTCTGTTATTCGAATGTTGGGGAGACAGAGGGAAGAGCTGGGTTTGGGCTTGGTAACAAGGGTGGCCTGGCCACCCGCCGCGGGCCTGGAGAGTGGGAGGACTGGCCGGGGCACTGTGGGCTGGAGGGAGTCCGGAGGCAGAGTCCGCAGGAAGCAGAGGCAGACTTTTCTCTGGCCTCCGAGCCCCAGAAATGGTGCTGCAGCCAGAATGGAGGCAGATGAGAGCGAAACTGTGTGCTTCCAAATTACTGGGAAAGCCCTAGCTAATTGGGCTTTGGGGACCCAGCGCTCCTGGGAGAGATGGAAACTCCAGGAAAAGGTGAGGGAAACTTCGCTTTCCTCCCCTCCCAGAGCTCTCTGAGCAGAAGAAAGGGGTGCCTACCAACAGTCAGAAAGCCGGTTTGCCCTGTGACTTTTTTTTAAAAAAATCTTATTTTTTCTTTCTACTTGAAAAAAATCAAATGAAGCTTACCCTACTTGAGTGGGATTTATTCCCTAGAATGGAAGGGCTGCTCCACCCTCCCCCTCTGCCAGCCTCGGCAGTAACATGTTTAACTGAGGCCGTTTCAAGTGCTCTAAAACACCCCTTAGAAATAAAATGTAAGCTTTAATTGCTGTTCAATTACTTGTCAGCATTTCATTTGATTTATGACCCAGTTCTGGCGCATTTTTGACCCAGTTAAAGACTCATAAATAATATAGTTTCACTAGAAAGAACAAGAGAGGGAATAGAGGTTTGTTAAAGGCATCTTTTTATTGTTGCTTCAGTACTAGCGAGCAGAATAAATATCTAAGGGAGGACTCTCCAACTGGTTCTGTACAAAAGTGTGCACAGTGAGAGGAAACCAACAGCCACATACAGAGAGCACCGGTTGGCTTTTCCTCCAAGGAAAGAGCTAGAGCTACTCCGTTACAGCTAAACTGTAGCTATAAGAAAGCTTAGCCCCTTTTCACCCTCCCAGCGCCAGCCTCGCCCTCACAGGCAAGTGTATTTCCTCATGAACTGTCCTCCCCATTTGGGGGTTTTGATGCCTCTTCTTGCCAACAGTCGTTCCTCACCTTGGTCCCTGGCTGCCCAGCCAGCGCTCCCAGCCACGGTGGCCTCTCAGACACTTCATAAGAAGACCCCTGAGAAGGCAGCAGCGTGCCCTCGCTGCTCCAAATATTCTTCTAGTGCTGAGAAAAGGGTTTCTTCTGGTCCCTGTGGGCGGGAGGCTGGGAGCACGGGGACTTGGGGGGAATTTGGGGAGCCATGGAGTCTTCTTAGCAAAGAAAACCTCAGTGGTTTTGGTGGAGCCGGGTGCATGGCTGCGGGATTTGCCTGGAAAGGACACAGCAGCAGCAGCCAAGGGTAGTTTCTGGCCATGGAACATCGACAGGAGGGATTTTTCTCTTTAAAAAAAAAATAAACAAAAAATGACCTTTAGCTGTTATAAATTAGTATCTTTTAATCACCTCACCTGCCTTGTTTCAAAAACCAACACTTTGGATTTCAGCAGAGAGGCCTGAACCCAAGGCACCAGACTCCAGCCTTGAGGTCCGAACCCCACTTCTGCCCGCGGCAGCCCGCGCCCAGAAGCCACAAGGCCCCCGTTCCTGTCCCAGCTCTCCCCGGCTGCCCGGCTGCCCGGCTGCCCGGCTCCCCGGCTCCCCGGCTCCCCAGCTTGGCGGGTCCAGCCCCGCATTTTGCCCAGCACAGTGTTGGCGCTGGTGGAAAGGTGTGCGCCCTGGGCGCTCCAGCCCTCACCTCGGTGCCCTCGATCCCGCGGCCGGGCCATCCCTTCCCTGGCAGGTCTCACAGAGAGCTGGCCGTCCCTGCAGGCAGCTGGCTGAGTTGAGAAGCGTGAGAGTCGCGTCAGCAGTTTGGAGGAGAAAGTGCGGGTTGATTATTGACCCACGCCTTCTTTCTTCAAATGCCACATCGGACCTGGACAGTTTGAAGAGAAAATGCCGCCGAGCGGATTTTTGTGGCCGGCTCTCGCCTCCTACGCGGCCCGGCTCCCCCTTTCAAGTTGAGCTGCTGCAATATGCCATAAGGAGCAAGTGTTTGCTGTTTTGTGCTCTGTTTACAGCTTTGGGGCGCCGAGTCATAAATCTTGCCCAGCCATAAATGACAAAAACCATTGGTATGCATGAGGCCACCCTGGCCCGGAGTGCTTTTTGATTTCTCCCTTCTCCCTTGGCTTTGTTTTTGCTCTAAGGTGACACTTTGGCTCCCTGACAGTTTAAACATACTACTTATATTTTTAACACCTTCCTTTGAGAAGGACCGGCCGTTGACACCTTAGAATTGCACGAAAGCTCCATTTCTCCCTTTTTGTCACACACATACCCTTGCAGGGTTCACTTCTGAATCTGGGGAGTTGAGCGAGGCAATGGAGGGAGGGAGACTATCCTCCTTAAAGTTGTGGAAATATTGCGGGCACATTCAGGCCTTTCCTCTGCTCAGCTTCCCTGTGTACCACTAACTAGGGTGGGGGGTGGATACCGTGGATGTCGGTGGCTGTTGGGGTCAGAGCTTTATCAGTCCTTCCCTGTGAGTGACCTGCATGTTTGTCCTGTGACCCCCGCACACAAGGGCTGGAGGCCCAGGTTTCTGGAACCTTGTGCTACCTGAGCCTGGGGCTGCCCATTTGCCCGCCCCCCACCGTGCATCTCCCGGCTCCTTTGCTCCCGGCTGCCAGGATTTCAGTGTTTCTGCCTAGAAACATAACCACGGGCAGCCCTGTAGGCTCGTGGGGAGGTCTCTCGAGAAAGGAGGCCCTATCCGAGCCCCCCCCCCCCCCAGATTGGCTTTGTGGTTCTTAGATTAGGGGTGGCAGGTGAGGGCAACCGCCCGAAGTCTGGGGGACTCTCTCTGGTTCTTGTTTCCTCGCCCCTCAACTGGAAGTGTCTGGGGCAGAGGGTGACATGGTTTCTCAAACGGCTTCCTAAGAAATAGAACCCGGCGAGAGACCCCTTTGTGAGAGCCCGTTGTCCTCATTAGCATAATTTTCCTGGACTTTAGTGACGCCCAGGAGCGAGGAGAGGGAGGGCGTGGGGTTTGGGGGGGAGGCTGCCCTCCTCCCGCCGCCGCTGAGCTCCCCACCTCCCTCCCGGCCCTC